AACATTACGTATGAGTAACAATTGTCCAATTACACTCGAATGTGGACGCATTTTAATCGGGAGAATTTCTTCAATTCATTCATGACATTTTCATTAAAATATATTGCAAATTGTAAAAGTTTAAATTTTCATTCGTGCGTCATTCCTTATCTCATCTACGTCTTTTTACATTGTATGCCGATGGGTCGGTCGCTGGCCTTGGACGTTCGGCGAGAATCGAAATCTCGCCACGAGCCGTAGGCCGTAGCTATTCCATCGTTCTCCTCACGGGTAGAATTATATGCGGGACATGAGGCAACAGCGTCAGAAAAACGATACTGTCCGGCAACATTGCCTTCGCGTAGGAAATACACAAACCCAGCTTGATGGTAACGGGGAATAAAATTTATTTGTGGGTACTGCAGCTAGATGTCGTATTATCAAGCCGTCCCAAATATCGATTTTGTGTTTCCGCTGGCGTCCGATTGTTTACATCAGCGCTTCGATCGATTCGGAGTTGCCACAAAGGAGTCTCCCCCCTTAAATGGCATCAATGGGCACATTTTATTAAGGTACGTGCATTTTTTGTGGGTGGAAACATTTCTGAGATTTCAGGGTCACTTTGATTTTTTTAACGGAATAACCTATTCTTGTACCATAGATCGATAGAATATCAAAGTCTGAGTAAAAATGTGTTGACCTTCGTATGTCCTAAACCTAATAGTTAACGAGATATTTATAAAATAATTTTTAATACGTACTTACTATTTGGAAGCTATATACATATAGGTGCTCGAAACTCTGATACCCCTAAACTTCAATACAGCGATTTCAATACAGTGATTATTTTGTAAATATCTCGTTAACTATTAGGTTTCGGACGTATGAAGATCGACACATTTTTACTCAGAATTTGATACTCCATCGATCATTAAGTTTGCCAGCCGAGTTCCCGCGCTAGCGGTGGCTACGCGCTGCGACTGGTAGGCAGCGTTACAGCGGGAACTTGACCGGCAAACTCGCGCTCTAATTGGTCGGGGTTTTTCGTTAATATCTCGGTAACGAAGCCTCAGATTACATTGTTGCTAAGGAAAAAGTTGTTCCAATTCACCCCCCGAGTGCCTCGTTTCCGGGACGGACAACATTTTTGTTATACCCTGTATACGTTAAAACTGCCATGTTCTTGGATCCTTTTACTAAGCCTTACAAAGCTAAAATGTGATGGCTAATTTCGATCAAGATGCTTAGTTTGGTTTAATATTTTAGCTCGCGTAGCATTTTCATCGCACGCACCATAAACAATTATCATATCGCACTTTTCTCTGTTACTGAACATATTAGTTTTATGGTTTCCACAAATTAATCTATAAAAACATTGTGCTTAAACATCCGCTGTCAAAGCTAATCGTATTGTTAGTACTAGTAGTTAAAATAATGTTGGTAATTATTCAGAATAAGGGAGCCACCACAAATTTCAATGACCTTGAAATATGCTGTGAAGGTCATCATTCTGAACAACTGTTTCCAATACATATGTATAATAGTCGGTCTCTTTCAGATTTCGAGATATTCGCAAAACAAGTTAGTTTAAAGCTACACAATTCTTCGTTAATTTATACATTTTTTATATTTTAATTAAAAGGTTTATGCTGCTAAATTACAGTATTATTGCAATGTTAAATAATAAAACCTATTACTTCACAGAATTATGGATTATTCTGTTTATTTAACTATAGAATCATGTAATCATGAATCTCAATTCACACGTCATCACGATTTTTCAAGCATTTTTGATGCTCTGACAAAAAATGTTTCCAACAAAGATTTATCAGCACTTCCTATTCTACAAATTCCAATATAAAAAGTAATATAAAAAAATTTTTTTTAATAAAAAATAAGGTCAACTTGATTTTTTTATGGTCACTATATATCTTTTACTTAATAATATTATAGCTGACGTCAAGACGAATTCAACGACCTATATATTATTGTCCTTAAGTATTGAAATAACGTTAAAATAGTCGTGAACAGCTGATTTGTGGTTCTGGACCACTCTGTAACGGCTCGAATAAACACTTTACCGAACATATCGATCTTTCATGTAGATATCAAATAGGTAACGATACTTTCGTGAGGTATAAACGGGTATCGATTCGGTGCCGTATTGGATTGGTATCCATTCAAGAAGAGTCGGTATTGACACTTGTTACTAAGTACCCAAAGTTTTGATACGTATCGATACTTCCCACTGAGCACTTTGGCTATTGAATCGATTGAATATCATCAATAGTAATAATATCGATCCCATCACTACCTGTATACGTTCATAGTACATACACAAATACTGTATATATTCATCTTAATTTAATAGGAAATCTTAACAAATATTTAGCATTCGATATACATAGTGGTAAACATATTTTTGTGAATATCTCGAAAACTGAAAGAGATCAACTATTATACAGTATGGGTAAAAGTTGTTCAGAATGATGACCTTGACAACATATTTCAAGGTCATTGAAATCGGAGGTGGCTCCCTTATTTTGTACAATTACCATAAAATTATCTACCTATATTTCCTAACTGATTATAGCAAGAACGTTCATGCCATTACTATGAAAGACTAAAATTCTGAAAATAGTTAATTTTTGAATTTACAACTAATATTTGATACACACCATTAACTGTTTATCACTTCCCGCATGATCACTTCGTTCAAAAAGTACTGATTTTAGCCCAACCACATCTGATTTTCTCAGTAATATTAATTTATTAACCCTTTAGTAACAACTTTCAAGTAGTTTCAACATCGACAGAAGAACAGTGTCCCGTAAAAAATGTTATTCAAGCTCTCATTTAGTATGCAAGCACTGTTACTAACGTTTATTCATAGAAATCTAAGCAAATGTACCAATCAATCAACCTGTCATTTTATATGCACTAACAGAATGGAATATTATAACTCGGAAAACGACTGTGAATGATCAAATCTTACTGCACTAGTCCATCACTGGTATTGAATAATTCCATCATAAATTCCACGCCAATCACCAGTAATTCGTAGCAGATCAGAATTTTCCACGATAATTTTACTCACTGACACACTCGCCGTGTTTTGGCCCGTCCCATGTGCCGTCAGACCGACAAGTTAATTCGTACTCTCCGTGAAGCTGATACCCACGGGGACACTGCAAGAAACACTTGAAACCCGGCCGACTGGTCAACCTTCGCCTACCCCTCCACGTCTTTGACGTTGCCACAGGAAAACACACTAAATGCCCTCGACCCTCTGGATTCAGGGGCGGGCAGGACACATTGTTTAAATCTGCGGAAAATAAATAAAAATAAATCACGTCGTTTGTCGGATGTTCGTGTCGTTAATGAAATGCATCGCCAATCAAAAGTGTAGGATCGAATATTATATTTAATTAATGAAACTGGAAAGTAATGCTTAAGGGGATGTTTCGGTCTAGAAATTTACAAAACTCGATTTCTTTTTAAATTTTATTTTTCCAATCTCCAATCTTCTAGGAATTACGTATTTAAATGAATTTGTTGAAATTCGAAAAATAATTCCCAAAGTTATAGGTATTTGAATAATGACGGATGTATAAGTTAAACTGGCCACTCCGAACTCACTAAGTCTTTGTTCGACTGTTTTCAATTGGTTAATTTTTATGATTATCGACGATGGCAGGAATGTCAAGAGTTGTTTTTTGAAGAGACAGTAGGACTGGTATATGGTCTCCGTAGAGTAGATTAGCGCTAAGTTAGAAAAATTATATCATTTTCTTCACGTAAAAACACGTTTTTTCAAACTGGTAAGATAAATATACCAAGAAGTTATTAATCAATTCAATTGCGACTTTTTTTACTTTAAAGAATAAACTCTATTGGGGGAGGAGGCTATCCTCAAACATTTGGAATTTTCAAAGTTGTATTTTTTTAAGGCGTGGGAAGGAGGGAAAAAATACGGTAAAAATAAATTTATACTTGAAGTAACGCCATTTCGTTAAAAATATTTTTAGAAAAAATGTGCATAATAAATATGTATCCAATGAAGTAGCTTTCAGAAGAATTGAGGTCATGAGAAAGTATGTCCGCAACCTTTATATTCAATAATAAATATTTTTAAGCAATTTAAAATAAAAATTTGACCTTGCAATTATTTACTATTGTGGTTAAGTTTAGTATCAGTTATATTATATTAATTCACTTTTATGTCGGGAGTTGTTTTACTTTGTTGATTGACAGAAAATTAATTCGCCACACACTCTTATAAGTAATTATATTCGGTTTCATATCCTGTCTAAAATGTACATACGTAGATAACTACGTATTGATAATATACAGGAAATCTTTTTTGTACGAAGTATCCAATTTTATAATATGTTAAGCATGCGTACTATTAAATATGACTGATAATATGTCGATTTATTATTTAGTAAATGAAATATTGAATTTCGAAGACTTTTGAATGTTCGAGATTATATTAATTTTTTTTTCCTGTTCAATTTAAGGAAAAAATACTTACGGGGTACAAATTTAAGCAAAAACAACATGTAACTATGTTGTACGACACTGTTTGAAACCAAAAATCTACGCCCACGGAGGACTCGTAAAACTAAACTTTTTAATATTCCACCATTTTGAA